CTGGATCGGAGTTTAAGAAACTGGGAATAAAATGAAAATGTATGATTGTGGTTGAATGTAGAAAAGGTAAATGAATATTGAAAAAATGACATGTAGGGTATGTTTGGCACAACTAGCTGAAAAGATACTTTTATAAGCTTTTTACTAACTGTTAGCTTTTAGTGACTGAAAAGATCTTAAAAAGAAAATGCAGTACCTGTTTGATAAAAAGCTGACTGTTAGATTTAGCTCTGTTTGGTATACAAGCTGTTAAGACTAATTAATACTAGAAGCTACTGAGTTATCTGAGATGCTACTCACTATAGCATCTCAAAAAAGATTTTATTTTTATAAAAGCTCTTAAAAATTGGCATGCCAAACATACAACTAGAAGCTTTTAAAGATTTTTTAAATAGTATAAAAGCTAGAAGTCAGGGACTTATGCATGTCAAACATAGCCGTACTATCATAATATCATATTACTAAGAGAGCTTCTCTTGACAAAAATATGCCTAATTATGTTTCTCGACAAAAATATGACTAGTCACTATGTACGAGTAACTGGACAAGAGCTATTATAGTGTATTTCAGAGTGAATTTAACATATAAGTCACTGATAGATGGTGAGTACTGAGAACTAGCCACTCAATGTCACTTTTTTGGAAAACTTTAAAATATAAGTCATATTTTGTCTTTGAATTTAATTTAGTACTACCTCCGTTCCAAAAGGTTCGCCAAATTGACTTTTTTTGTTAAGGCAATCAACTTTGACCAATGATATTTTTTCATACGAAATTATTTTGAATATGAAAATTATATCAAAATAATCCTTATTCAGAATATTTTCATAAATGTATATAATTTATAAGTTTTCTACAATTATAGTAATCAAAATCATTGTTCAAAATTTGTCATCATTGACCAAGTCAATATGACGAATCTTTTCGGGACGGAGGTAGTAATATTAATGGAAAAATAAGAAGATTTTTTTGGGACATCCCAAAATGGTAATTAAGAAGAATTTTAAGGATTTTTATAATATAAAGTTTGCCGGGTGATTATCAACCCACTGCATAAAAAAAATGTCTTCATGATTACCGATCCATCATAAGAATTGTTGAGGTGATTAATGATCCACCACAAGAATCATCGAGGTGATTACTCACCTTAAGAATTAATGGTGTGATTATCGACCTATCATATCCGGGATGGTCACCAAAGCAACTAGGCAGTTCATAATTTAATCAAAATTAGTTGATCTCAAAATGCTCATAAAAAATACGTAGTATCTATTTTATACGTAGTATATAGATACTAAAATTATATGCATGGCATATCTATTTTGTTCAGTATGTTCAGATCCACTTTTCTAACAAAAAAAAAAATAGATGAACTTCTAATCGGAAAATGACCTTTGTATCGGAAAAGTACAGAAAAAGTACTTATGGTTGAGCCCGCTTTCAGATAGGGTTATTTGTTTCAGAAAGTACAAAATGGTTCATATGTTTCAACTTCGTCATCACAAGAAGGTCCTGACGTCGTTAGAAATCACCGGAGGAAGACGATGAAAAATAACTCTCATTTTCAAGTTGAAAATCAAGTTGAAATACTAAAACCAAATCACATCAGATTTATAAACGAGACCTATTACTATTAAGTTACAGGTAACAGTTGGTAGAGTGTGATTAAAGTTATTTATCCTAAATTTTATATTTGCATGTGTTGAGGTTTAATCCCGTAGATCCGAAAGTCCAACACAAACTTTGGATATATCAGGAAATGGGACGATAATCTAGTGTATAAAAGAAATATAAAAGATGATATCAACGAACACTCAAAACCCACTTGTATTAAGTAATTTGACTATTACACTGTAAACTACCCGAACGGTATGTCGGAATAGTAACTAATACAAGAAATTAGAGAGATAATGTTATTCTATGCTTGAGTATCAAAATGCTAACTCTTACAATGAATCTAATCCTTCTATTTATACTAATGGGGGTATGGGGTACTTCATGTTGATTGGTTGCTATATCTAGCCACTTGGAATCCATGCTCCCACTAGCTGTCGTCATACTTTAGCAATAAATGCCTCCTGGCACTTGTTGGCTACCCGCTGCCCGAACTGGCAGTGAATCTTGCTGGAATCATCATTGATATGGCCCAAGTTCATCGATTAGTCCGATCCCCGTTCGGTACATCTGATCTGGAGTCATCATTGATCTGGCCCCTCAATGATCTGGCCCAAGTATGTTAATTGGTCCGAACCTCGTTCGACACATATTCTCCCAGGAGCTGATTCATCTTCTGGATGATGGGCCCGTTTAATGGATTGGATGTCTTGGGCTTTGGATCTGGTTATTGGGCCTGTGACCCAATATCCCAACAACATGTATATGTTGTTTTGGCTTATTGGCCTTCTTTAATACTCTCTATTGATTAATAAAGTTACGTTTCATTCGGTTCACGTAAAATTTACAATAGAATATAGATGTTTATCCTTTCTCCTATCCTAAATAAATTTCAAACGCAGTATCCCTCAACACGCGTGATGGATTCCCTTTCACTTACAATATACGTAGTAGAAGAAAAGAAGATGATGATTTACTAACTTATATAAATAGCTAAGATAAGATAAAATAATAGGGTATGGTCGGTCAGCCTTTACAATTTCTGCAGTGTGGTGCACAACAATTTTCAAGATTAGATCACGCCACTCCCCTACATTATAATACACTAATCTTTCATTTTTGTAATTGGACTGATTTCATTCTAGATTAGATCAAGCTTAAATCATTTCATTTTTCATTTTCATTTACCCCAGTGCCGCAAAGATTTCCACCTACGATGAGGTAAGGGGGGTCGGATGTACGCAATCTTACCCCTATACTAAAGCATATAGAGACTGTTTTGGGATGACCCATAGTGAAAACCCCGTCCAAAATTGCATGGACTGACTGTTGATTCATAACAAAGAAGCGTAGACAGTTTAGTGAGGCATTTTGTTTTATTCCATCATAATCTCAAGCCAAAAAATAATGAATCTTTGGCTCCATTGCAAATGATGGAAAAATTAGATCAAGCTTAAATACTTAAACTAAATCACATCACATTTATAAACCAGACTTAAATAGCAAATTGATGACTAAGGTGCTGTTTGGATAACAACGGATGGAGCAAACCGCTAATCAATTAACACATCAAAACGTTGCAAAATGCAGCGGTTTGCTACCCATCCGCTGCAAAACAAAGGAAGCCTAAATCACACTTGATAAAACTTAGAATTCAATAAAATGTTATGTGCTCACTAACAGTTACATAAAATGAGACTAAGTTAGATTTAAACATATTAAATCCAAATCACCAAAATTAGTCAAATTGAAAACAACAGACTAATGAGCGACCACCAAACGTTGTGTGCTCACTAACGTTACACGATTATGGATATATGAAACAAGATTACAAATGTATATCAATATAATGTGTATCAATATTATTGATTTATGGGTATGTTACACTATTTCTATTGAGTAATCATTATTGGATTTCTTGGTATGTATTATAGTGGGCCTATGGAACGAACACTTGTTCTGCTATAGAATTATAAAATAAGAAATCTGTTCTTTTTGCTCGGTTGCACTTTTATTGATTCTTTTTTTGGGGGAAAAGTATAGAAAAGGTACTTGAGGTTGGGCTCATTTTCAGATACGGTCATGTGTTTCATTCTTTATCAAAGTGGTTCATGTGTTTCAATTCCGTTATCACAATAGGGTCACCCCGTTAAAAATGTCTGAAAAAGATCGTTAAAAGTAACTCTGATTTTCAAAAGTGCCCGAAAAATTAAAAGAAAAATACCGAAAGGTGCGCTTCATCAAGATGACCTCCAAACCACCTTCGCCTTTGGATTTTTCAGATCTGTTTGAATTATTTTTTAAAAATAATTTTGCTAATATCACTTTTTCGATGGACTTTCCGGTGACTAGGGTGGCTGAAAACAAAAAAGAAAGATGGCCTAGCGGTCGTCTTATTGAAGCGCACCATCCGGTATTTTTCTTTTAATTTTTCGGGCACTTTTGAAAATCGGAGTTACTTTTAACGGTCTTTTTCAGACGTTTTTAACGGCGTTACCCTCTTGTGATAACGGAATTGAAACACATGAACCTCTTTGATAAAGAATGAAACTCATGACGCTATCTGAAAACGGGTTCAACCACAAGTACCTTTTCAGTACTTTTCCCTTTTTTTTTGTATTTATGACTTTGGACTTGTCTAGTTTGAAATTAAATGAAAAGGTTTTAAGAACACACTGTTTGGATTTTTAAGATTGAATAATGACTAAAATGAAAGGTTGAAAAAGAATAACTAAATTGAAAGATCGAAGATACAAGAGGGAAAAAGCCAACTTAGAGCACGTTTGGTAACACTGAAATCGGCTGTATCGGTTGATTCCGCTGAAATTTATGAAGTTCCGATTGAAGTGGCTGTGTTGACGATTCTGCAGATTTATGAAAAAAGTATATTTAAAATATATTTTATTAATAAAATAAAGAAAAAATTATATGAAAAAATAGCTAAAATGGTCATCTAAAATAATAATTTCAATCAATACAGCCAGAGAAATAACTCTAACCATACTTTTTCTTATTATTAAATAATCCAATGCACGAAATCAAAAGTTACGTATTTGGTTAAAAAGCTGACTGATAAGCCTGATAAGCCGAAAAACAGAGTCACCAAACATGCTCTTAGTGTAGTTTATTAGAATTAATACTCGATCGGATCTATGTGTGAAGGGTAAAGTTTTGTCTGGGGATTATCAACTTAAGATTGAAGAGGTAGTGACGTTAGTGCTCTTGTTTTATTATGTATGCAATTAGTTTTCCTTATAAAGAAAATCAAATAATTAACCACTAATTAGGTAATAAACTTAGGAACTCCATTGAATTTCCATGCATCTTATATCAAGCTCCAAGTTACTTCCAAAAACATTTGGAAATTCTCAAATTAGGAAGTAAATATTTTATTAATTGGTCAAAATTCAGTCCCCCCTTCCAATTAGCCTAGGCCCCTATATATACATACGATAGCAAGAGATTAAGTAGAGCCCTTAGCCCATATTTAGAAGAGATATACAATTAGGAAGGCCCAATCTAATACCCCCCCTCAAGTTGGAGCATGGGGATCAAACATGCCCAACTTGCGCCGTAAATGACTAAATTGTCGTTGTCTGAGTGCCTTCGTAAAGATGTCTGCTAACTGATCAGTAGTAGAAACATGTTGTGCCGAGATCATCCCTGCTTCCAGTGCGTCACGAACATAATGACAATCCACTTCAATGTGCTTGGTGCGTTCATGAAATACAGGATTGTGTGCGATATGCAGAGCAGAACGACTGTCACAATGTAAGGGAATGGGCCTCTGATGAGCAACACCTAGGGTGAGAAGAAGACCTTTCACCCACTTTAATTCTGCAGTAATGGCCGCCATCGAGCGATATTCAGCTTCAGTGGAAGATCGAGACACAGTGTGTTGTTTCTTAGTCTTCCAGGAAACAGGAGAACCTCCAAGAAAAACTAACCATCCAGACAGAGATCGTCTAGTAAGCGGACAACTAGCCCAATCAGAATCACACCAGCCTGATAGACCCAAATTAGAGGAGGACCTCAAAAGAATTCCTTGTCCGAGAGAGCCTTTGAGATATCTGACAACTCGTAGAGCCACACTCCAGTGTTCTCGTCGCGAGGCCTGCATAAACTGAGATAAAATATGTACGGAATATGCCAAATCCGGCCGAGTAAAAGATAAATAGATTAGACGACCAACAAGACGTCGATAGGATTCCGGATCAGTCAATAAGTCACCCGTAGCAAGGCCCAAAGAATGATTCTGTTCCATGGGAAAGGAAGAGGGCTTAGCTCCAAGAAGACCTGCCTCAGATATAATATCCAATATATATTTGCGTTGACAAAGAAAAAATCCATCAGCTCCTCGGGCTACTTCAATGCCAAGAAAATATTTAAGAACCCCGAGATCTTTCATGTGAAAACAGGAGTGCAAATAAGTTTTAAATTGAGACAAAGCCGTAGAATTATTTCCCGCAATAATCAGATCATCCACGTATATAAGCACATGTATCCGCACGTCATCCTTGCGCAAAGTAAACAAGGAATAATCAGAATAGGATTGGAGAAAGCCATACTGTTTAAGCGCGGTGGCCAGTTTTGCAAACCAACAACGCGGGGCCTGGTGAAGACCATATAAAGACTTGCGCAGACGGCAAACCAGCCCACGTTGAGATGAAGAAAAACCTGGTGGAGGACGCATGTAGACCTCCTCAGCCAGGTCGCCATGGAGAAAGGCATTATGGACATCCATTTGATGTATCTCCCAGTTGCGAGCAGAGGCAACAGCCAAAAGTAATCGTACTGTCACCATTTTGGCCACGGGAGCAAATGTTTCAGTATAATCGATACCTGCCTCCTGATGATTCCCAAAGACAACCAACCGTGCCTTGAGACATTCAATGGTGCCATCAGATTTATATTTAATTTTGTAGACCCATTTACATCCTAAGGCCTTTTTGTCGTGGGGAAGTGGCACCATGTCCCATGTGTGATTATTTTCAAGAGCTTGGATTTCATTTTTCATGGCGGAACGCCAGCCATCATCAGTCATAGCTTCCTTGAAGGAACGGGGTTCATTTCCTGCAAGAATAGCTCCAAGAAATATGCGGTGACAAACAGAATACTTATCACAGGAAACGTAATGGCTAAGAGGATACCGCGTACCTGAAGAGCTGTCGGAGAGTGAGGACGGAGATGGGCTTAAATGAGCAACATAATCTCGAAGTAATACTGATGGTCGCTTAGACCGCATACCGCGGCCAAGAGAAGTGCTGTCAGACAATTAGGAAGGCCCAATCTAATAGAAATGCAATACGTCAGTGAGCACACAACGTTTGGTGGTCACCAAAAAGTATACTCTCTCCGTCCTGCAAAATAGTTCGCAGTTTCATTTTTGGGTCGTCCAAAAAAATAGTTCGTATTTTCCTTTTTGGAAAATTTTGTGTGGCTCACATTCATTTAGCATTTTTTACTTAACCACAATCATAGATTTCCAATTTATTCTCACTTTCGTAAACTCTGATCTAAGTCAATGCGGGAACTATTTTATGGCACGGACAGAGTATATCAGAAAAATCCAATCTTGTAGAGAATAAGTCACTTACACTAACAAAAAATGTGCGACTACATACATTTTAGTCCATCAAAAACAAGTAATGTCTGTACACTGACACTAAGTTTTCGTACAAATAGACATTGACATCTCTATAGAAAACATATATGAACGTGTTAACCAATTTGAGTGGTGTTCAAACCAATACCCATGCATAGACATTAGCTGTTTGTGTGAGTATTGATATCTTCACACAAACAACTATTTTATCCAACCTGATTCATGTTTACAAAAAGTTGATATGAATATCATTTCCATTAGTTATTGAACAATGAACATTGTAATATATCATTTCCTTATAATTTTGTCAAGTTTGAACTACACATGAAATAATAAAGTAAAAAGTGTGTGATTGATTTTGTGAAGAAGATAAAAGATCGAACATAGTAGGATCGGAATCCCTAATTGATGACTTAAAAGATACTCTCTCCGTCCCAAATTGTTATGCAAACTCAACAACTTTTGGTCAACCAATAATAAAAGTCAATCCTGCATATCGATAATTAATTCAATTTTTAATAATTAAAATTTACATATTCAGAAACTACATTAAAATCTCACTACTACATTTTCGGGTCTTTTGTAACAGCAGAATTCGTTATATTCTCACTACTCATTACATTCGCTCGCGTTGCATTTGCTCTAATGTAACGGCTTGTAACGAAATTTTTGACCAACTGTAATGGTCCTCACAAGATGCCATAAATGTTACAACAGATCGAGTACAAATGTAACAGTATGTAACATACACAGGGGTAACGGTTTTGAGAATATGTTGGCCCTGATTAATTACGTAATGTAACGATTTTGAAAATACATTGACACTAATTAATTATGTAACGTAACGGTTTATATAAATACATATTACCTATAGCACACATGCAACCAAAATGTTTTTACACATTACCGGTGGGCGTAGCTCAACTGGTAGCAAGGGAGTGCCACAAGGGTTAGGTCCCGGGTTCGAATCCCGGCAACTGCGATGAGGGGTTACTATGCTAAAAATGCATAGGGCTTCTGCAAGTACCGGGGACAGAGCCCCACTCTCTACCTGTCAGATTGGGATTATAGTCCAATTTACATCCTCCCAACGTACCGTCCGGTCGGGGTTGGGGGGCACTCAGGGATGGGGTGTCATCCTTTTTTTACACACCTATAGCAATGAATGTAACTAGTTGTCCATTTAATTATAATTACATACAAAAGTGAATCAAATGTTGGTCCATGTGGTTTCTTGAGTCCATCTCATTCCCTATCCTCAGAACAAAACCCTTACATATTACATGGTCCCTTACAACATTCCTATGCAAGTATGCAACCAGTAACGGTCCAAACAATTGGTACATGGGCAACAAATTTGATCTCCTTCTGCTTTGATCGCAAATGCTTTCTCAAGATACTCATCAACTCCACATTCATCAAACTCATCAGCCATTTAGGAAAATCCCACCAGTCTTTTTTCCATTATCCATGACTTAAGTGTAACAACTAATAAAAGCATAAAAAGTTACAATGACCATCTACACTTCATACTAATAGTACAACATCTAAATGATCACTTCAATCAGAAGCAAAAACCGAAAGTAAAACTAAAACTAAAAAACAAAATGGATGTATGTTGATTCTAGCTCACACATACACAAAATAATCATGCATATAAAATCAGAGAAAACAAAATGGAGTAAGTTGATTCTAGCTCACACATACACAAAATAATCATGCATATAAAATCAGAGAATATCAAAATTCAGAAAAATTTATAATCCAATTACATAATTATAATACAAAAGTACAACTTGTCCATTTAAGTTTAAATTTGATACTAAGTGTTTACCGAACAACATCCATGTGAATCAAGTTGCAACAAAATAAAATCAAATTCAAGAGAATATACACTCTAAAAGCATGAAGATATAATACCTAATACACTAGCAAAATTCCAAGTTGGGGAAAATAAAACCTCTCAGAATATAATGTGCCAAAAAGCCTATTTATTGCATACATATAATCATTCTGAACTTACCATATAATCATAGGGTTCTTTCTCCATGTCATATTTATTATTGTGTGTATACTAATAACTACAAACATAAAAGAGGAAAGATGCATATTCAAAAGAAGACATGACCAGAATCCTGCAATTTTTCGTTTTGAAAACATATACACAAAATAAATCATTTGCGTAATGCGCTGAGTATCAAACAAAAGCGAAATTGACTATCAAAGTTAAAATGAATAGTTTAATAATAAATAAATACATAATATAGTAATACTATTAGGCTGTGGTTAATACATATTTTAATATGCAAACATGCAACGAATAAGACTATTAACTAAATTAAAGAACAACGAGAATAGAAGATATGGTTTGAACTAATAAAACTTCAACAGCTATTAGCATCCCATAGAAGATATGTGTACACTTTGTCTATGTCTTAGTCTCATACTCACACCTAAGGAATTCTCTTTTTTTTTAATTTATTGAAGTAAATTTATTGGCTGATATTTATATTTGTGTGATTTTTTTGGCCAGCTCTGTAACTATGTTTCCTAAATTGTACTCTTTCAAACAATTTAATACATTCAACTATACCTTTTCTTTTGCGTACTAATTTAACCTGAACAGCACCCTTTAAACCTACCCCAACCAGAACAGAAACAAAGAAAATAGTTGTGGGCATTTTTTATTCCAATGTAAAAGATGAATAGTTTGTGTTTTTTGGACTTGTGGATCAAATAATGATGATTGTGTCTCAATGCCGCTCTCTACTAACAGTTGTAAACAAGATCAAAATAAAAACAATTAATGTAAAAGATTGTATACAATTATTACTTACTGGAAAAAATTCATGTTACATATCCATAAAAAGAAGGATAAAAATTGCATTACCAAAGTTCAGCTTGTCTGGACGCAATTGGGCCGATATACCTGGTGCTAACACTTTAAGAAGCTTCTTACATGTCTCTTTATTCACCCTTTGAGGCATAACTGCTTTCACAAAATAAGTCAACTACAAGAAGTTAACTTTACAAAATCAGAGATATATGGCTGCAAAAAGTGTGGTAAAACCGTAAAAATAAAAAACTGAAATTTAGCAAACCTGGGTCGAATATCAAAGAATCACTTAGTTTTATCTTTAACAATCATGAATAATTTGTCCAGGACTTAGTCATGCATCTGATTATCAAAGTAGCTAATTTATTCTATCTATTTTGTCTTTTTAATGTAAGGTAGTAAATGTGTGATGTATTAATTAAAAAGACTTTGTTTTTATATATAGACGGAGTTGATAGATAAGTTTCACCAAGATGCAAACCTAATAAAGAATAAGATGCAAAGTTTAAAAAGAATATGATGCAAAACGATAAAACATATTTAGAGAATACTTTATAGAAGTCTAGAACACCACCACTAACCTGCCTAGGAATGGAATAACGTCATACTATGGGCTGCAAGAGCATAGATCGTATTTAATACCTCAATCTCAAAAAACATGAGTTAAAACTAAGATGTAAAAGGTATATAAAGAAATTATGAGATAATGGGTTCACTTATATGCATTACGCTCTAAAAATAGATCAAATTACACTTCTAAGACAAATGTAGATGTGTAAAGTGTCACTAGTGCAAAATCGTTAATCAGAGGCGCTTCAAATGGCTCATGTGCGGCGCTTTGAAGCGCCTCTAAAAAATGTGCCGCAAATCTCAATTGGAGGCGCTTTTTAGACTGGAAGCGCCTCTAATATTTAAAAAAAAATCGGAATTTTGCGGCGCTTCTTACAGCAAAAGCGCCGCACGCGTGAGTGAAACAGAGACGCTTCTGATGGGGTTTTTTTAGAGGCGCTTCTGACGAAAAAAGCGCCTCCAAAATGTGCTACGTAAAATGAATTAGAGGCGCTTCTAACCTTAAAAACGCCTCCAAACTTGGCTCCAAATTTTATTATTATTTTTTAAATTTTTTTTTAAAATACTATATAACCTGTTTTATTTACAGATCCATTGTCAACCAAAAAAACACATTCATTCATTCATAAAACCAGAATAACGATAAAATCGTTTCGCACAAATACAATTCAAAAGGTACAAATTTGTATCACAATATAATAAAACTACATTCAAGTTTGGCTCAGCTCAGTTCTAATGTCATAAGACTTCATCTACAAAAAACCTAGCCCATACTTTTCTAATGTCATCAAACTCCTCCGTTGTATATGGCTCAGTTCTTGAATTCCAAACCTGAAAGTAATCATAAAAATATAGATAAAATAAGTAACGACAAACTAAATTATACTATCGTATATAAGTTAAATGATTTAATGAAATCCACCTATTGAAGTATATATAATTTAAATACATGTGCAATATCTGAACTTCCAACAGAAGTTATTATTTCCCAAATAAACTTCATCACATAATATCCACATTCTGTGTTGCCCGTTTGTCTTGCACACTATATATTAGATGACAAATATACATTATTATTTTATAATATGATTTTTTACATAAAAGCATAACTTATGTAAATAAGAGAAGATATATGATGAAAGTACCTTCATATTATGCCATTTGATCAGCTTGCCACGACCCTTTTGTGTAGACGCAACTCTATACATCCTATAATGATAATTAAGCTCAATGTATATATATATATATGCTCAATGTTGACATACAAGTATAAATGTTAAATATCACAACTAAATCATTAAAAATACATACATCATAAGATCTTTTTGAATAGCAATATTGGAATAACTTGGCAATGAATTGAAAATGTAGCCCTTATCAACCTTTGGACAAATTACAAACAAAACCCAATGATACCTATATTTCCAAAGAGAATAGAAAATGGGTTAATATTTCATATGTCACGATCAATAAATATAATATGTAAAAGTGAATGTAATATATGAATCATACCCTTCATTATATGCCAAGAGAATGATATTCTTTTCAAACATTTCAGTCAGAGCATGCTTCATGTAAGTCAGTGTGCCCTTTTTATCCAATTGATAATACTTAAAAGAACAAATCCAAGGACACAAAAGACCCACATCATCAAGACCAAACTCAATCAGTTTTGCATTTACACAACTACATGCATGTAAAATTATAATATTAATAATTAGTCAATAGTAATTAAGTCTAACAAATATTCAAGAGTGCTTGTAAACTTATTATAATACTTACAGCATAAAGGTCTGAATAATTGAAAGATCAACAGAATCACTCTCAAGAAATTGACTCAAGTCTTCACGGTCAACAACGGTCCCAAATTGGTTATCATCAATATAACAGAACAACTCCGCAGGAAGAGGAATAGAAAACTTACAAAGATCGGGCTCATACCACTCAAGATTTTCATGCAATCTTAAAAGATCATCTGTAAGTGAATGAAGAACAGTTTCACTGACCAATGAATGTGAGTTGGGTTCAACCGTTACTTTTGGTGAATCTCTCACGATTAAGGGTACTTTTTTCTTAGCTCCATCCTTCTTTTTTGACTTAGACGGTGGTTCCTAAAATAATTATTACATAAAAATGTATGAAAGAATTTCATATCGAAATAAGCAACAAAAGTAAAAAATATGAAACAACAACTTCATTACCTCTCCCTAAAAAAAACAAATGAGATGGCCATTGAACATATGAACCTACAGCGTCTGCTACAACATTCATATCAGCGGCTTCATTAGGATAAAGCAATGGACAGTCTTCAAACTCTCGATATGTGATACATATGTTCACTTTGATTGTGTTTTCACACATCGGTACATTATGGATTAACGATCCAACAGGCGTGTTGTAGGCTACAGCCATGGCCACAAAGTCCAAACTCTTATCACCAGGATAAGTGTGTGACTCAACAGCAAGCCTACAAGATGCACCATCCTGCATGTATGTATGTACACATACAAATGAAAAATAAAACATTTTCTACATAAATAATTAATAAAATGTTACTTACAATGAATGTTTTTTTAAGATGGGGTGCAGCAGAGTTCATAGTATCCACGTGGGCCGCCTCGGAAGCAGGCATTGAATCCCCGATAGGCACTTCACTTCTTGGAACAAAGTAATGTTGCATGTCTTTCATCAAACGCTCTTGCAACTGCTTTAGGTCAACATCACTCAAATTACCAACCTTATCTCGATGTGTGCTTCTCGACTCTCGATCAAAGACATGTGTATAACCCACACCACCACCGACGCCACGTGCACGTCCAGGGTAATCAGGCTTCCCAACAACCTCCGTCAATATATCATGTCGACCACTTGGCTTCCACGTTCCTGCTGCTACATCTTCTTTAAGTTTATCCTAGTACAGAAGCAATAGAATTTAATGTTAAAAAATAAACATGATTTAATAATATGATCATACATATACTAACTATAACTTACCAACTTCTCTTTTTTCTCGCGCTTGCCCTCAGTATTACCAGGAAACACGATGTGACCATCCGCTGTTAATCCAGACCTTGCACAAAACCAAGTGACATGTCTTGGAATATCACCAGAAGTGGTTGTGCTAGAGTTCGTTGAATCTACTTCTGAACCGGTAAGAAACTGATCTAATAATCCTTGCTCTTTCCATTTCGGTATGGAAAGAACATATCTCGAACGACCCATATGATGAGGATAGATATTCTGAAGTGCAGCTTGTTTATTCTTCTCGCTCAAAGCCTATTCAATGTTTCATAAATATTAAACAACTACTTAATTAAAATATTGAAAATTTTTAATTCTATGACATACCAAAAACTCAGGAGTCATAGTCTTTGCCACGAAACTATCCCACTCTTCTTTGGTAAGTTGGTCTTTATACTTCTCAAAAGCTTCCCCACAATCCTTTCCCACTTGACGAGTCTTATTTATGAAACCTGATCGCAATCGATTTCTCCAATCTCGGTGCATTTTGCCCAACTTTTTCAATAATGGTTTTTTCATATTATCCTCCACAGCATAGTCATGCTGCATGATAACATCAAAAATAAAGTGTTAGCGTATATTATATAGTGAAATGAATATAAATATTTCGGCTAATAAAATTGGAGATTTTGTAGGTACCTGTATCTCTTTAAAGATTTGATCTTTATTCGCTTTTGAAACTTTCTTCCAACTATCAATGTTTATACTCACTCGGGAACGTACCATCTTCCCCTAGAATGATTTAAACTCTTCAGCCCACTCACCGATGACAGCATCGGTATCAGCAAATTCAATTATTTTTCGCCCCTCGTTGTCTCTTTGACCGCCACCGCCGCCATGAGGATCTTGATTATGACCAGGCTCATCTCCGTCGTCGTCGCTCATAGTGTGTACCTGCAATTCATAAGCATGCATAATGATTAATAATAATTCAATATTAAATATAACTTACAATTCAGTATTAAATTACTTAACTCAAAAAAACTTACAATTCCTCACTTAGCTTTTTCCGTTAACACTTCAATGCCATCATTATGGTGTGCGATAAAGGGAAGATAATCCTCATTGTGATCATATCTTATGTTTGTTTCACGCATCCCGATGGATAATGAGGGAATTTCCTCAACATAATCATCTTCCTCATCCTCAAAATTACATGTAATCTTTTTCTTGCCGGGTAAACAAATGGACCATCGTTCATTTGAAGGATCTTTTACATAAAACACTTGTTCGGCCTGTGATGCAAGTATGAACGGATCACCACGATGTCCTGATCGGTTAAAATCTACTAATGTGACTCCAGTGTCATCACATTGCACCCCTCGACGAATGTCAACCCATTGACACTTGAAAATGGCAAAAGATCGAGCTGTGTAATTTAACTCCCAAATGTCTTCTATTTTTCCATAGTAAGACAACCTTGCATTTAATGGATTTTGATCATTTGCACTAGCATACTCAGTCGAAGATGCTATCACAGACACACCACTATTCTGTAACACTGACTTCTCATCTTGTCTGGTAGTATAAAAAGTGTAGCCATTGATATCATATGCTTCAAAAGAATCAATTGGTCGTTTAGGACCATAGGCCAACCACTTAATATCATCATCAACATCATAGTACACATTATCAGTGTCATTGAAAATTAAATCCCTAAACCAAGATGCAAAGGTTCGGTTGTGTTCTTTAGTCAACCAGATTTCACTTTTCAAAGGAAACTGGGATCTCAAGACATTCATATGTTGTTGCACATAAGGATGAACTACTTCAAGATGATGCAATACGAGAAGATGAGCCTTTCCCAACAAATCATTATCCACATTCTTTACTTGTTTCTTCCCAAGAGTGCCCTTTCCTTCAAGTCTGTCATCATGTCTAGACTTTGGTACTCCCAAAGATTCCACATTAGTTAAATATGGCGTACAAAATTCAATGACTTCTTCATCAATTAAACCTCTGATGATGCTACCTTCCGGTCGACAACGGTTTTTTACTTTTGATTTTAAATACCCCATGTGTCTCTCCATTCCGTACATGTACCTCAAAAACACCGGTCCACACATCTTTACCTCTCTGACTAAGTGCACAACAAGATGCACCATAATGTCAAACAATGATGGCGGAAAGTACATCTCGAGTTGACATAATGTAACAACTACTTCTGATTGCAAAGCATCAAGTTTCTCTGGATGAATTACTTTCTGGCATATGGAATTGAAGAAGAAACTCAACCTCATAATGGCATACCGAACATGATCAGGTAGAAGACCTCTTAAAGCAACAGGTAACAAGTGTTGCATCAAAACATGATAGTCGTGAGACTTCAACCCAATCAATTTCATATCTTGTAGTGATATAAGATTTCTAATATTAGACGCATACCCTGATGGCACCTTTATCCCATGTAAGCACTCACAGAAACTTTTTTTCTCAGCCTTTGATAATGTATAGCTGCCTGGTGGAAGAAAAAATCCATTCTCACGTGGGTGTGGTGCTAATTCTTTCCGAATATTCAGATGTTCAACCATGTCTTTGCGAATATTTATGCCATCTTTTGACTTTCCAGGAACATTCAAAATAGTCGAAATGATGCTGTCACACACATTCTTTTCAATATGCATGAGATCAAGACAGTGCCTTACTGATAGGTCTTTCCAATAAGGAAGCTCCCAAAATATAGATTTCTTTTTCCAAAGGCTCTGCTTGTTCCGCTTATAAGGTTTTCCAAAGATTGTGTTCAAATCTTTCACCCTATCATACACATCATGACCATTTAATGGTGGACGAGCTACTTCATGCTCAGTTTTTCCGTTAAATGCCTTCTTCAATGCACGATAACGATGAGTGCGCGGAAGAAACCTTCGATGATTCAAGTAAACATTTTTTTTGCAGTGAGGTAATCGCAAATCAACTGTATCATCTTCACATATAGGACATGCTTTTGCACCTTTGACTGTGTAGCCTGAAAGATTGCCATATGCTGGAAAATCATTTATAGTGCAATACAACATAGCACGCATTTGAAAATAAGATTTGGTATGCATGTCATATGTTGTAACACCTTCAGTCCACAGCAGTTTGAGATCATCAATAAGCGGTGCAAGGTACACGTCAATATCATTACTCGGTTGTTTGGGTCCCGAGATAAGAAGAGACAACATGATGTATTTACGTTTCATGCACAACCATGAAGGCAAATTGTAAATAACCAATAGAACTGGCCAAGTGCTGAGTTGACTACTGAGTGTACCATATGGATTCATACCATCAGTGCATAGGCCAAGTCTCAAATTTCTGTCCTCTCTGCCGAATTCAGGATATTTCAAGTCAATTTGCCTCCATTGCGGAGAATCAGACACATGACGCAAGTACTCATCTTTTTTTCTACCCTGAGAATGCCAAACTAAATGTTTGGAATCTTTTGCATTCATGAATAACCTTTTAAATCTCGGAATAATGGGGAGATACCACAAAACTTTTGCAGGAATTTTGGAAAACTCAGTGTCACTAGCACTATTTGTACTCCTTTTTGCCTTATAGCGAGAAAGATGACATGTTGGACATTCATCAAGATTTTCGTACTCATTCCGGTACAACACACAATCATTGGGACAAGCGTGGAATTTCTCCCATTCAGCTCCCATAGGACACAGTAACTTTCTTGCCTTGTAAGTGGTATCAAGAAGTGTATTCCCTTCGGGCAACATCTCTTGAATTAATGTCAATAACTCTGTGAAACTGACATTACTCCATCCATGTTTCGCTTTCAAATGAAATAACTTCAAAACCGCAGACAGCTTGGTAAAAGTAGAGGTAGAATACAAAGGTATTCTGGCGGCATCAACCATACTTTCATATGATTTTGGTTTTTGTTCAAAATTATCATGTACATCCTTCAAAAACTCATCCATGTGATCATCATTGAAATCATCACCACCATTATTTTCATTATTCCAATTTAAGTTGGTGGTAGTATCGGGGGCTTTGCGCTTTAAATTACTAGCGGCGGCTCGCGGAACAACATTCTCACCATCCTGGAAAGTCTCTCCATGTAAAGTCCAAATGATGTAATTTTCTCTAAAGCCTCTCTCAAACAGATGTTGAAGTATAACATTGGTGTCACTCTCTCTTCTCAAGTTCCGGCACTTTAAACAAGGACATAAAATTCCTTTATGTCCATGTTGTTTCTGGTGTGTAACGGCAGCTTTGATGAACCCATTCGCACCAATGAAAAACTCAGACGTGTCTCGACGTCCATACATCCAAGAACGATCCATTTTGAACGAAATTCTACATTTGTCCAATAATCATATATCATATAATGTGCATATAAGCAATATCATATACTCCCTCCATAATGTTAACCAAGTAATAATGTTTTATCAGATGCAGCTGCACAAGGGGTACAACCAGATCAAATCATATTCACAGATGTTGCAATGAAGCAGGAACATATAAGACGCAGTTCTTTGGCGGATTTATTCCTTGACACGTATGGAATACCATGACCCCATTTCCCATTCATTTTAAAGGAGTATACCAGAAAACAAAATTATTTCTACTAGCTTCATAGTTTCTATGTGAATGAAAAGTTTCAATTTTTTTACTTGATAGGCCCTTGTGCAATGGCCACACAACTGGAACGGATGTGCTTTGGGCTGGTCTACCAATGGTGACTCTTCCTCTCAAGAAAATGGCAACAAGAGTGGCTGGTTCATTGTGCTTGGCTACAGGTTTGGGGGATGAGATGATTGTCAGCAGGTGGGTATTTGAGATTCATCTCTATTCAGCTTATTGTTGTATTCTTCTCTGGTTTTTTTTGCTTCAATTTTCTTTGTTAAATAATCATGCAACTTGTTTGGTATGGATTAAGGTGATTAGTCATTTTATCATTCTGTTGCTTTGGTTGAATTTAGAATTAATAAAGAGTTCAGAAGTTATGTTTGTTTTGCTAAAAAGTAAAAACAGGAGAAGACCATTTACCTCTCTTATTTGTAGGATTAATATTCAATTTGTTACGTTTATGGTCATGTTAACTATTCTGTTCTCTTTTTATCCCATCCCAAAGTCATGTCTACTTCACTAGTTTGTTGAAATGATTACCCATTAATTTTTTGCTCCTAATTTATTCACTCAATCATTGAAATGATTTGTCACAGTTAGCCCACTTGGTTCAATTTTTAAAATACTTGTAAAAATCGCTCAAAAACCAAAGACTCTTTATAGTTGGACAGAGAGAGTACAAATAATATTACATGATTTTTTGGTAGTTATTGTAAAACAACATAAGCAAAACACAACACGCTACACAAGGGAACACCGTTTTATTATTAGTAAAAATTATTGATACATTTACAACTCCTACACATGCACTTGTGTTTAGGAGTATGTGTATATATATGTTTTTGAATTTTGAGTGTGTGTATTTGAGAACGAGTGAAATGTATTCAACACTACTGAACTAACACGAACTAAAACCAACCAATCTTCCATCTCAGTGGTGGCCATTATTCATTCGGGTATAATCAAATAATTATTACTTCAATAATTACACATACTATAATCAAATAAAATACATTGATAACGCTGTCAAATAAACAATTAATAAATTATAATTAACTGTGAGCCGAAGCGCCCCAAAAAAATCAAAGTACAATCAAATAAAAATGAAAAACATAATATATATGCCAAAAAAATTAACAAATAAACTCACTTTTATCAATGTAAGTATAATTCCCACTTGATTAAAAATTAAGGAATCCTAAACATGGGAACAATGGATATCATATGTAATATACATTAATCTGAAAACATTTAAACCAAAATTTAAACTAAAATCAAATAAAAGTGAAATCAACCAAAATATACCAAAAACTTAATTAAAAAATAAACTGACCTGCAATGCGGGCCGGAGAAGTCGACGGGGAGCCGGAGAAGTCGACGGCGTGCCGGAGTAGTTGCAGGCGTGCAGCGGCGGCGAGCGAGCCTACGGCAGGCGTACGACGGCGGCGAGCGTGCTGGAGAAGTCGAATAACCCGATGGCAGGCGTACGGCGGCAAAGAGGAACAGCCGGCGGCGGTGCGGTCGAAAGGTCGCTTCGGTCGCGCGAGGTGCGGGTGCTATTTCCGTTTCCGAGCTGCGTGAGTACGGTGAAGACCGGCTAGGTTTGGACGACGACCCGGCCAAATATTTGGGTTAAAATTGGAGGCGTTTCTTACACAAAAAGTGCCGCACGCAGGGTATTTTTTTTAAAAAAAATACGAAATATTTAGAGGCGCTTCTAGCCCAAGCGCCGCACGCGTGGCCCAATTCAAAAAAAAAACCGGGGAAATTAGAGGCGCTTCTTTTCCTAAGCGCCGCACGCGTGGACGGAATTCAAAAAAAAACCGGGAATCAAATCGGAGGCGCTTCTTAAAAGAAAGCGCCGCACGAGTTAAAAAATATATATTTAAAAAATGATTGGAGGCATTTTTTTCCAATAAGCGCCGCACGGTTTTAAAAAATTGGGAGAACTATCAAATAAGCCCTCGAACTTACATAAAAAGTGCAAATAAGCCCTTTTACAGGAGACTTTGCCCGGCTGTCACCATTTGGGGCGGTTTCCGGTGGAATTTTTTTGATCAAATTTTTTTAGAATCTTCTTCATTAAGTCTAGTTTAACCAAACTAAATTTCACCTAAAAATTCAATCGAGAAGGCAGTCAAATAATTTTCTGAAATATACTGTGCTGCCTAGCTACGCAGTTTTCTTCAAAAATTCATTTGACTGCCTTACAAATTGAATTTTTAGCTGAAATTTGGTATGAGTAAACTAGACTCAATGAAAAATATTCTCAAAAACTTTCATCAAAAAAATCCAACGGAAACCGCCCCAAATGGCAACGGCCGGGCAGAGCCTCCTATTAAAGGGCTTATTTACACTTTTTATGAAAGTTCGAGGGCTTATTTGATAGTTCTCCCTAAAAAATTTTAAAATAATAATTTTAACGCCAAATAGAGGCGTTTGTGCTGAAAAGCGCCTCAAACGAAGCGCCTCTATTTGACGTTTTTCCACTAGTGTGTAAATAAACTTTCACCTTCAGAATCTGAATTATTCGATAAATTTAAGGGGAGTTTTGACTTTACACCATCTTTTTATCAATCAACTTGCACTTTGCGCCCTATATTTGAAATAACTAATATATGCACCCTAGCATTAAAAAATATGTTAGTTAGAGTTGAATAAAAAAAATCAACACAACAATGCCCCTGGAATAAAAATCAATATAGCCTAACAACATCCCACAAAACGCAAAGGCTAATACTTGCATCAGCCATAGGAGAACATAAAAGGCATACAACCTGGAATATACAATAGCTTTAGCTGCACAAGCTATATCTACTTGCACCAGTCATAGGATAAAATATAAAAGCTATTACATGCACACTAGCAACTAATAAAAAACCAAGATTCTGTTTTTCTTCAACTATATTTTATAGCAACTAATAAAAGCTATAAAATTCCAATGGTTATTGTTTTTCTTCCCTAAATTTTCAATTTTCCATTAATAATTGATTAAAAAGAAATTTGTTAGCAACCCGCCTACATTCTTGCAAGCTGCCTAGATTGCTGCAGGCCCGAACACTAATGTGTTTATTTTGAGGCATGTGTGTCTCCTATAAATTTATAGACAATTTAGGAAGTAAAAGTTATAGCCTCAAAAATTTATAGCCTGAATTCGAACTCACCCACAATTCAGTTTGCCACGGCCATCCACTAGCTAAATAAAGAACCTTTCTTCCTTCTTTGTGTCATCTTCTACCTTCTCATTATTACTCCAAGGATCAATACACCATTGAGTAAAATAGTCTTCTCATTTTTTAGTGCTCTCTGGGTCAATTAGAAGATATGTTCTTCTCCATTTAATGATTACTCTATATAATCCATGCAAAATCTTTATTTAAATATTGCAGATGCATATATCACCTAAATCAATCTGAAAGGGCCATTGTAAGAGGCAAATAGATGTAAATAAAACTGCAAGGGGGCATATATCACTTAAATCAATCTTCTCTATAATTTTCTTCAAAAATAGATCTAAGAATAAATTAAAAACACGAAACCTGATGATTCAACAATCAGAACTGCGCAAAACCACAGAGTAAGGTCCGTAGCCGTGGTGTGGGGAGGCTTAAGCTGGTCAGAGAGCTACGAACGGCTAGAGAAAAACCGATACAGACCTCTCGAAGGGATTAGACCGGAATCGTTGTCAGTTATCTCTAACAACGCGTGAAGGGGTCGGATTAGACCAGAATCGTTGTCGAACTTTGACATCTCTGAGGCCGCTCGAAGGGAACGATTACACCAGACTCGTTGTCGACTTTGAGATATCAAAGGATGCTCGAAGGGTCAGCTGAATTTTGATTTCTCCACACCAAGGGTTTTGAGAATTACACAGCGGGAACTTTTCACTTTGCCGCCCGCTTTTCACTTTGCCGTTTCTAAAAGATTTTGGCTGCAAATTTGAAATCAGCAATAGCTAGGGTACTGAAAATTTCCCCACTCTATTATGAGGGTACCATTAAAAAAGCTACACATAAAAAAATTCCTCATTAAAAAGTAAATTTTTTATTGAGAGGACTTTTCCCCTCATAAATGGTGTAAAAAAACACTATTAATGAGAGGATTTTTTTACCGTCACTAATTTGTGTAGCTAAAAATGCTTTTCTTGTAGTGTTTGCCCTTAACATATTTTAGTTTGACGGGATGTTTTACTATTACTAAACTTGATGCGAATTTTATTAATCTATGGTGCTAAAATTTTCTCGTAAAGTATTACCTTAGCCTACCAAAAAGTGTAACATTTTTCAAGCGAACGTCATCTGTATATATATACGGAGTATAAAATAGTGTTACATTAGAATCACACTAAATGTAATAGTATGTAACAGTAGTTACGCAAATGAACCAAATGATATATAACCATTACAATAGATAAACCAAATGTAACAGTATGTAACAGTAGTTACGCAAATGAACCAAATGATATATAACCATTACAATAGATGAACTTAATGTAACATTTTTACTAACAATTACAAACATAACGTTACATTAGAACCGAAAATGTAGTAGTGTCTCTTCAAAATTGTAACCTCTAAATTAGAATATAATTAAAAATTGACATACTAATTAAGCAAATAAAATGAAATTGTTTGACTAAGAAAAATCAAATTTACAAATCAATTTGGGACGGACGTAGTAAAAAGGAAAATAGTAAAACCAATTAGACGGCTAAAAAAGAAAAGTCACTAAAATTATTGTAGATGATGGAATGTGTTTGATATTATTCACCTATTACGAATTTAAGATTGGCTGGCAAATTTTTTACTCTAGGTCTGGGACAATGAGACAAACTAATTAGGAGTGAGGTGTTTGGATCTACTTCTCCAAACTGGTTCTACTCTTTCAAAAAGTAGAAGCAGATCTTGTAACGGTTTAATGAAAGTGCAAAAATACTCCTAAGTGCTCCAATACACTTCTAGAAGCAGTTCTTTTTTTAAGCTCGGAAGACTAGATTCTTGAAAATTGATTCTGATTCTACTTCTACTTTTTAAAAAAAGAAGTAAAAGCATAATCAACTCCATACACCCGTCCAGATCTTTGTCATTTTTAGTGGCAGATAAAGAATAGAAACGTTTACTCAAAAATGATTTCGTTATATTTGTGCAAAAGGTTGAATCTCCAACTCCCCGCTCCGACCCGATGATTCCGTTATAGATTAAGTTGAATATGTACTCGATACACCCAAATATGAATCAGATTTATTCTGTTTCAATATACTCAATGAGCCTCATAATCCAAACAAGATCCCGTTTTTACTTGGAATAGAATATTTGGAAGGTATAAGTATAAGAATAGCCACAACTAATATATGGACTCAATTTAGCGATCAAATCCAAGTGGCAAAGTTAAAGCCGGGCTCATTTCTGTCCCTGCAACATGCCCCTTGAGACAGATTTCTGAAGTCTCACTAATTTATTTAAAAGTGAAACACGGCACCAATAAACTTTGATTCCC